GTAGCTCACTCCTCCAATGCTATAATTTAAAGTGTTGGATTAATATGAACTTAACAAAAACACTGGGTGCCGTTTCTGTAGACAATAACGCTGGTAGATGTTATAACCTTTGAAGAATAAGAATGGATAGGATGGAGGGACGTGGTGAGGAAAATGAATTTCAGTTCCTACTGAAGGTCACCCATTATGAAGAGAGAGGAATTAGAAGAGGTCAAAGTCACTGTATTCTTTGCCTTCATGTTATCCCCACCAGTTAATGGCAAGAATTCTGATTGTCTTTTCCATTTAGCTCATTAAAATGGAAACTACCTGGGACTAACCACTAGAGCCCCATAATATTGGTAGGCTTTCCTTTATCCCCATAAGACGTCCTAGATCCTTCAAAAACCCTTTAACTTTAAACTCCAGTTTCCTATCACTGGTGGACCAGTGAGTTAAGTACTCAGGATTTCAAAAGCTTTAATAATTTAAAGAAAGCAGTTTTGGTATGAAAGAAACATTGCTTGATTATTTTATAACTAGCATTACATATTTTGCCATTCAACCATTTTATTTTACCGAATAATATTTGCCAGTCATTTATTTTAATGGTGGCAATTTTAGGGTCTCTTTATTCCAACAGCAAAGAAGTAAAAGTGTGCTCGCCCCTATTATTTCTTTTTTCCGTCTAGAAATAGCATAGATGCCCCACATGGGGTTTTATCTCTGCCCAACAAATAAATATGAAGCAATGCATATATAATGGGAGAGTTTGTATATATTTAACCTCCTGGCTGGCTAATATTCAGTAATATACCAACTTTAAAAAAAGCTAAAATTAAACTGCAAAATTAATTTCTAAGTTTTAGAAACTTTTTATCAAAAAATGTTCAATAGCAACTTCCTAGATAAAACATATTAGGAATTGTATGTTAGTTTTTAATGAGATTCTCCCCTCTTTGATAGAGAGTATGTATTTCACAGCCATAAAGAAAGACTTACCCACTCCCTCTCTGTAACTTCCCTCCCAAAGGAATGTAAAAGAAATTAACGGAACTTGCTGCAATCCTCAGTGTAGGAACTGAAACGTGCTCTATCTTCTGTAAAAACTTGTGTGACCCACCATTCCAATTCTCTCTTGATTTTCCAGATTTTAGCACTGGTGGTCTCAAATACCTGGGAACACTTACTCCCAGGCAAACCAGGAGAGTTGGTTGCCCTAATTCATTCAGGTACCTTCCCTAGGAGTTGGTGATACTCCGTGAAGGGAGAACCAGACAGACCGCTAAATACTTACCATTAAGAAATATATATATTGCAGATCTTCTTCCTTTCCATTTTATTCACCTTCAGTGTCTCTCTTTCTTTCGGCCCTGACATTTTAGTTCTCTGAACCACTGGATGAGTCAGAGGCATGTTTTCACTCTTGTTATTTATAAAGCTTTAGTTTTTAATTTTCCTGAAAGACCTTATCCAGAAAAGGGATCTACTGTGCCTGGTTTTCTGATGGTTTGTTTTGACTCCTCTGTTCACTCCTTATTTACTTCGACAGCCACATTATTTCTGCCCACCTCAGCTGAAGAAAATACCCCATCAAAGAATGTCAGGGGCATTCCCCGTGGCAGTGCTTTGAAAACAGCTCAGCGTTACCTTTATCTACGGCGGTCACCAAAGGCGTGGCATCATCCAGTGGGGAACTGTTCACTGCCTGTGACTGTCCCATTACCTACACCCTCTTCTGCTGATTAGATGGATAGCTCTCTAAATCCATGTCCCATGCTGCAGGCCTCAGGTATTGCACAGTAAGGAGCTAACCAGACTTGAACCTTTCAATTTATGAAAAATTGGCAAAGCTGGTTTGCATAATTCATTGGGCTGCTTCTCTTTGAATTTCATGTATAATTTAAAAAATTTTTTCTCTTGTACTCGCTTTCTAACGCTCTGGTCTAATCAGCTGTGTTATTTTCTAAACAGTTGAGAAGAAGAATTGTCACAGATATATAGGCTGTGAAATCCTTCTTAGTTGAAAATAAGCCGCATATGTCAGTATTCATTCAAAAGCTGAAATTTGCTTTCCTCTGTGCTTTTGAAAGCCTAAAAGCAGTTTCAAATCGTCTTTCATCGTATAGCTGTCTTTGTATCCGAGCAAAGGCATAGTTTCCTAGAAATGATTGAGGCTTAAGCAAACAGCCGTGTGCTGATATATACAAATTCTATCTATAGGCAAAGAGAAAGGACTTTATTAAAGTTACTTGTTACTATGTGTATGTTTAATTGTGTCTGCAGCTGTGACAGTGTAACATATGGAACAGCCAAGTAGATATAAACCTTATTCAAATAACATCCTGCAATGGTGGCTGCTTACCTGGTTTTGCCTTCTCTGGGCTCTGTGGTCCTGGCTACGATAGTCAGGACCTTCAGTCCCAGTGTCCCTGGAGGGGTCTTTAACTTGGGACTTTATGAAAGCAGGAAAATGATTTATTGAGACTACACATGGTTGAGAACCCACATGATAGAATGAGACCTATGCAAGTCAATTATACAGTTAACGTAAAGCTATGTAAACAGCAAACTCCAGATCACATACAGTGTAGAATCTGTGGACAGGTTTAGCCTGGAGTGGCTGAGAGAGTGGTCCTTTGTTCCTTGCTGCCCAGTTTCCTCTTCTTCCTGTGTCATCTGTCTGAGTCTGTGGACGCTCCTTGAGGTGGGGTTATTGTTGTCCCACTCAAGTAAGCGTTGCAATGCTGTCAGAGAACACAGTGTTTATATCAGAGCATTATGGACAATTCTCAGACTCTATATTTGTAAGTGTTGATGTTTACATTTATGGAGGGAGGGGGCTTTTGATTACAAGAGACAGAAACTCCACTGAGTTCCTTTAGTGGAAAAGGGGATCTATTTTAAGGATATATGTTGACAGAATCTGCAGGAACTAGCTGTTTTCCCAGTCTCTCATGGGCCGTATGGTCTCTTTCTTCCATTGTGTCTCTGCTTCTCTTTACCTGTTTTATTCACTTCTTCTACAGATAGAATTCTTTGACTTACTCGTAATTTCCCTTCCCTCATAAGTTCAACTTTCATTTTTCTCTCTGGGCCTCCTTCTAAATCCAGACCTTTAAAGCTGCAACTCTAAACATTAACTGGTTTAGTCTCTTTATTGTTCTGAATTAAAGTCCCAGACATAGATTATGATGGATTTTAATACTTGTCTCTCCTACCAGACTGTATGCTTCTTGAGCATAGGCATGATGTTTGTTTTCTTTGCCACTGTAGACCCACAATGCCTAGCACAAAATAGGCACTGAGTAATATTTGATGAATGTATAAAATATGCAGAAAACCATTGGAAATCTACTAATAAATCTTACGGAGGGAAGGTTTCTACATGAGTTGAACTGGCTGAGTCTTCTCAAACACCAGCTGATCTGGACTGAAGTCACCTTATTCTTTTCCTAGTTGCTAAACATTTTTCACTGCTCCAAGAACTCCCAAACTGCTTTGCAAATTAGAGTCAAAATGTTCAGTAGAGCTTGATGTGATGAAAACATTCAAATAGTAAATGTTGGAGGAGAGATCGTTTCCATGGTGACTTCTGCTTCAGGAAGCCCTCATGTGGATGAGAGTGAGTCAGCTGACCCGCCGCCAACTCAGGGCTGTCCTATTGCCATTAACCTACAATCCAACTGCAGTATCAGTGCTAATGGCAGTAACCCTATATTTGATTCATTACTGGGAGGTTCTTCTTTTGGTAAAATAAACTCATAAAAGCAGGAGGATGGTGGTGGAGGTGGTGAGAGAGAAAAGGTGCGGCTCCAGCTGTTGAAAGTTGGGGAGTGCTTTCACTTACATGTGGAATGGCTTTTCTCTTTGTGAGGTGCCATGGTTTTCTGTCACTCCAGGGAATCTGTGTCCTGGGTGTATCCTGTCTATGTTTCCAACCATGCTGCAGTGACAGAGGGGCCACTCTGCTCCTTTGGGGTGGAAGAACACTTCCTGATTATAGGCCAGATGTCTGACAAAGTCCTTACTGACAGAAACATGGGCACCAGATACTTATGTGTGACAGTCCTTCTCTCCTACAATTAAATACTCCTGGTTCTTGTTCTTTTTTAACCCTTTCACACATCACACCACCATCTGCTGGTAGCAGAAATCACTATAATGTGGTATTCTACTATAAATCCTAAAGCGTCTTTCCATTTGTTTTATCATGAAGCAGATAACATTTTCAAAAACATTCTGAAAACTATCTTAGTAAATGTTGTTTCCATCAACATACTTACTTTGGGAAATGAAATATTTATTCTAATGATATAGTCATTGCCTAAAACGTTTTTAGAACTCCTCTTTCAATGCTATTAACTTGCTTCTCTAATATTCTAAAGTAAGGATAGGGGGCCGGCCCCGTGGCCAAGTGGTTAAGTTCGTGCGCTTCGCTTCTGCGCTCCAGGGTTTGGATCCTGGGCATAGACATGGCACCACTCATCAGGCCATGCTGAGGTGGCATCCTACATGCCACAACTAGAAGGACCCCCAACTAAAATATACAACTACGTACCGGGGGATTTGGGGGAGAAAAAAGCAGGAAAAAAAAAAAGATAGGCAACAGTTGTTAGCTCAGGTGCCAATCTTTAAAGAATAAATAAATAAATAAATGAAATAAAGTAAGGATAATTTAGCTATACAGGACTATATGGATAAAGATGTGAATACGTGTATCTTTTCACTATATTCTACTTATAATACTTTTACACTTACTTCATCTTTTTCTTCTAAGTAATGAAAGATCCAAATATTTAATGAGCACTCCCATGTTTATGTCAATGTCCGAACTGGCACATGGTTGACTGTGCAGCTCTTCACTTGAGTTTAACTTTAGAAACTGCCAGGACAGCCCTTCAAATCTGATATTTGCTACTAGACATTAGAAACACTATTATCTGCATTAAGTGGAATTTTAGGTTTTATTGTCTAAGACCTAAAGTGTAAGTAAAATGAATTTTTCTTGTCACCTGCAGGAAATGTTTGATGTTATATTGGATGAAAATCAGCTGGAGGATGCATGTGAACATCTGGGAGAGTATCTGGAGGCATACTGGCGTGCTACCCACACAACCAGCAGCACCCCCATGACCCCGCTGCTGGGAAGGAATTTGGGGTCGACAGCACTCTCACCATACCCCACGGCAATTTCTGGGTTACAGGTATTGTCACTTTTCACTTGTGCTTTTACAACTTTACATTTAGGATTCCACAGGGAACTTGATTGGGATAGAGACTGAGATTGTCCTTAATCTGAAGAGGGAACCATGTGTGGACATGAAAAAAAAAATCTAAAATGTTACCTAATTATGATCTACCCTAGACAGAGTTACCCAAAAAGTTGTCCTTTCTTTGGAACTTTGCTCTCTGTTAATTTATACTGGCTTTTACTGAGATACATTAATCCCGCCTATGTCTAAACCCTGCCAGGAAACTTACTACCTACTCAGTGCAACTGTCTATTACTTGTCATGTCACTTCTTAAGGATTATGCAGTTGTGGCGATGTCAGGCACCAGGGCAAGCTAAGTAAGATATGTTGGGACAGAAGGACCTTTTGTCTGCCCTTAAGTAATCCTGCCCCACAGGCTGCTGGGCCTGTCCCCTAGCTTGCCAAATACAGAATGTACACATGAATAGAGTGGCTTTGTTCAGAAACAGTGACAGATCTGAGTTTTCTTGGGCATGTGCAGGGGACCACTTTAGTCAATGGCTATGGCAGATGTCCTTTAAGGAAGCTGGGGATGAGGCAGGAACAGGAGGTTCTCTCTTCTGCTGTTCTGACGCCATGCTCAGGGCTAGCTGTGGGGCGCCAGAGGCTTTAGGATACAAAGCGAATCTTGCCTTTTTATGCCAATTATTATTTACCATTTTCCAAGCAGCTGCTGGAATGTGGCCAAACCTCCAACTGGCAGAGGAACATGTAGTCAATTGAGCCCTCATGACTAGTTTTGTATTAATGGGTTATAATGATAGTCATAATTGTAGATCATGTAGAGTTAACTATGAGATGAATGGCATTCTCTGAGATGCTATTATAACTGTATTACTCTGCTACAAAATTGCAATTTAGTAAGCAAAAAACTGCCATATACATGAATAGCTTTTGAGGCTGGAAATGAACATGGGAAATGTGCTGTTGTAGTATCCAATATATATGTAGGCACCAGGATTATTTCTTGCCTTTTTTCCCTGCCTGTGTGCTGATCCTGAGTGTGGCATTTCCACTGACTAGTTTGGCTTGGCTCCAAATTAAACATTGTAGGATGAGGAATGGATGCATGAAGCAATATGCTTCTGTAATGTTGGTGGAAATGAGATTTTGTTCTTTGTTTATGAATATAACCCTCTTGACTCATCACTTCTAGGACATCCCCCTAGGGTGGTTCTCCCAGTATCACTTGAGTTAACGTGGTGCCCTTTGTTCTATGGCCTTTTCCTCCTAGTAAGCAGGGGCACATAATTGTTAGACCCCTGGCAGGGGTTACAGGCACAGGCTGTGACTGTTAAATGAGTTTCCTGCTGTGTGAAGGTGAGTGTCCTTTAGAGGAAACATATCTGGGTCCTTGGTTTCATCAGGATCCTGTTTCTTAACTGAGGTGACCTACTAAGCAGGTAGACACAGCTGTGATACGTGTGTTCCCTTGATTTGAAGAAAAATGTTGAATAACTTTTTCTGGGCCATAAAATAGGTGTCTGAAGATATTAATTGCAATTAATGGTATTAGAGGAATTTAGTTTATATGTGAAGATTATTTTTGCAGGACATAGTTGAGGAAGCAAGAATTGTAAATATATCAATTAGGTGCCTCTGTAAGTGTATACTCCTTTGGAAAGAATATTACTGAGAGTCTTACCTTTATGTAGGATGCAGAAACAAACACATTATTTGATGAGCAGTGCAAATCATAATTTTACTAAAATGTTTTTAAAAGGTATGAGGAAGATTCATCTAGGTAAATGTGAAGTGTGTGACTTTAGGAGGAGAAGGATTTTATCAGTTCAAGAGAGGAGTACAATAATAGATGCTATTCTGAACTTTAACTAATTTCCCAACAGTAAAATAATCCTCATTTTTGCCATAGAAGTGGAATTATTGGACCATCCTAAATATATTAATTTCTATTCAGCAATTAACTTTCAATTCTATATTTTTAACAGGAAGTATAATCATGCAGGATTATGTAATTAAGTTGATAAACTATCAGCATTTTGGCATCTTTGCATGTTGTGTCCCAAATAAATAAGACCAGATATTTTGAGCAGACCATTTGTGCATCAAAATGCTTTACGAAGTCAGATATTTAGTATCTTATTGTCCTGATCCTACTGTTGTACATACATTTATACGTTCTAGATGGATGAAGCTGACATGATTTAATCAGTGAACTATCTGATATTTTTAGAGTCAACGTATGAGGCACAGCAACCATTCTACAGAGAACTCTCCAATTGAAAGACGAAGTCTAATGACCTCTGATGAAAATTATCACAACGAAAGGGCTCGGAAGAGTAGGAACCGCTTGTCTTCCAGTTCCCAGCATAGCCGAGATCATTACCCTCTTGTGGAAGAAGATTACCCTGACTCATACCAGGACACTTACAAACCCCATAGGAACCGAGGATCGCCTGGGGGATACAGCCATGACTCCCGACATCGGCTCTGAGTCTGCAGAAACAAACGAAAATTCATCTGTTGACAATTTGCCATAGCCTTGCTAGGATAAACCCATCATCTTAACTTGGCAAGTACAGCACAGTATTTACTGTGCTGATGGGCTGCTGTCATTTGATGCTAAGTAAGGGGCAAAAAAATGTACATTATGCCCTTAAGTCTAGATGGATATTAGATGCCCAATCATATAGATATTTTTAAGTGCAACATTTACATAACAGTACCTTTTGTTTTCTTCATTAGATTTAGACACATCAATTTGTAATTTAGGGTACTTATCAAGGCACATATAAAATAATTTCCCGCGCTGGAAATTCCAAATGACCAGTTCCAGTTGGAACCAATTTATAAACCAATTCCTGTTGGAATTTGGGTGAATCGACTGGAAAGTCTACTTGAGCATGTTGCAATCAATTAAAAAATCTGGGAAAAAAAACCCACAACGAATTAGTAAGAAAATCAAAAGACCAGTAGAAGTCAAAACCAGCTATGGTATTTATTTGCTGGATGCTAAATTTACACTTAAAGTTAGAATGTATAAACATTTTAATATATGTTAAATGTTGCCAGAATGGCTTTTCAAACTTGCCAGATGTATTGATATTGCCAAAAAAATCTCAAATTAATGCAGAAATTTTACAGTCTCCTCAGATTTTAATATTTTTATTTCTTTTCTGGCACAGCTGTTGTATTCAAAGTGTTTTTCTTTTTGTTTAGTCACTAGTGTTAGCTCGTTTGAAGTTGGCAAAAAAACTCAAAGTTTCTGTAGCAGTGAGAGCAAATAGTAAAGAGAACTCCCAGTCATAGCTGGTTATGTGACATGGAAAGTGGGGTGTTGTTTCCCCTTTAATCAATCTGAGCACAACTACATATATCCAAGAATCTGGAGTCAGACAGTAAGGATGGGTAGAGATCCTCCTGAACGTAGAGCTAAACATCTCCCGATGGAAATTCATCTATCCCACTTACCACAAACACGGGTTCGGTATTTCCTGCCAGTGCAGTTGAATATCTTTCCACTGCTTTATTCAGTCTCTGTCTTTGAGTATCTGAATGTTCTAGCCCTTCACCAGATTCTTTGTAATCACGCCGGGGATTTTTGTTTTATGTGGACACATTCAATTTTGATATTGATAGCTGTGTTTATACCAAACAATTAATTGAAAAGCGTGAAAGCAAATGATGAATTTAAAAACTTGCAATAAAAAATAAGCTCAGACTCAGAATATATTTGTTCACTAAAATTATAGCATTTTTATGGCAGAGAATTATAAAGAATTTGGAGTTGAGTTGCCTTATTTCTAATGAACACTCCTCTTCACCTATTACGTCTTCAGAGTTTTTCCAGTGGCTATAATTATGGAATTGGTGATCTTATGTCTTATATTATCAAGGAAGCCTTAGATTCACTATGGTCCAAGAAATTATTGAAATTGACCCTTTTATACAATACACAAATGTCTTCAGGAAAAGACTTTTGTTTCTAAAAGTCCATAATGCATGCAATTTTCTAAAGCTCCAGTAGGACCAGGCATAAGAATCTTTTTCTACTGGTGCATGTCATGAAGCCTATTTTTTGAAAACAATAGTAATTCATTTTCTATTATCTTATCCCCCGCCCTCCAAGCCTTTCAATATTTAGGCTCTCAAAGCATGCACCAGTTAAATAATTTTCCTGACCATGAAAATAAGTTCCATATTCTTGATTAGTTACACATATCTTGAATCTCATTATAACCTCTCACATTGCCTCGCCCCATTCACTGTACATACCTCATTATGAACCTGTTTAGCTGATGATGAGGATGCCTATAATTATGTAAGTTATCTCAAATATTTCATACAATCAAAAAACATGGGCTCAGTAAATTCTAAAAGTTAACATGTGATACTGGTTTGTGAGGTTCTTTTATCATCTAGTGAAGCTTACAGAACTTTCAGTTAAGACATTTAAAGAGCTGTATCCATTAAGCACTTTAATAAACATATAACCTGCCATTACGGAATACTTTGTTCGAGCACAGAAGAGCATTTTCCAGCAAACAAAAATATATTTATTACATGTACAGCACATATTTGCATGAGAAAGAAAACATTAGCCAAAACATTTTTCTATATGCTTTACTGGTTTCTTGTTTGTGCGCATTAAAGTATTTAATTGCAAAGAGTGCACCAAGGTGTATAAATTTAGACTAGACAGCTGTTCAGCTTTTTCTGTAGTAGCATTAGCAATCTGGTCATTTAACTACTTTAAGATATTTACATTTTATGGCAGGTAGCTGTAACAGCACTTACATATATTTCCTAGTCAGCAAGACTACCATATTCTTTCAAGTTTTAAAAATCGTTTGTTTTTAAAGGCTTCTCAAAGCCTTCTTTCTAAGTCTTCCATGTCGTGCTGATAAAGAGCAAGGTCCATTCAATATCTGTGCACAGAACCAATCTGTCATTTACTATCAAGTGTCCATACCTGTTTTGCTTTACATTCTTATTCAACAGCTAACAATCTTGGAAAGGGTATAATGTATATTTTCTTGATAGATATATTTAAATTTTTACTTTAATTTGGCATATTCTTTCCCCTTCCTTTTGTAATAAGTTTATCTTCTCCAAATGAATAAGAGATATGTATTTTCCATTTTTTTAAGTCAGAGTTTATCATGTAAATGATACTAAAATACAGATATATACTAAAAGAAAAGTTTTATTTTTGCCAAGCATATCAAGCACCTTTGGAAAATACATCTTCCATAAGTACTTTGTTTTTAACTGATTTCATTTAAAAATAGTGAATGATAAGCAGGAGAAACAAGTCTTATAATGTTTTGAGGCTGTTTTAACTTGTAGTATCATCCACATATTCTGTAATTTCAGTATATGTAATTTCAGAATATGTAAATTACATATTTTATAATTTCAGTCAGTGAACATGTAACAGTGTAGACTCATGTGACAGTTTGGAAATGTAGTCCTGGACAAAAAGGAATGCCAATCCTGATGTTAATTCTCAAGGCTGTAATGTGACTCCAATATTATAATCAACATGTTATCTTGTTTACTCTAATATTTAAAGCAACACTTAGAAATGTTTATAAATTACGGATGATTCTCTCTTATCTTTATACAGTTCTATTGGAAAGAAAATTGAAAATAACAATTTAGATTGATAGCCTTTCCTATTAAGCAGTCTTAATTATGTGATGATATGTCATTGCACTTAGTCCTTAATGAAATGAATTTTTTAAATATAAAACAAATTCTGAGAAAATTATTTGTTCCCTTTGAATAATTTGTTAATTACTTTAATTATTGTTGTTGTTTGCTAAATGTATTTTTGGAATGTTAACCTCTTTTCATACCTGCATACTTGAACTTGTCTATTGTGTGGGGGCCTTAAAATTCATAATAGGAAGCTAGGGCAGTGAAAGGGAGGGAGAGAAGGAAATTATGCCAAAAGATGGTTTGCAAATTTAAACTCTTTGAATGAACATATCATAAAATAGTGTTGAGACCCAGGATGTCAGTTAAGGATATTTCTAAGCAACCTTAATTTGCATGCTAGTGTATTTTCACAGTTATACAGTTTTATTTTGGTATTTGCTAAAAAATAAAAACAATGTAATGCCACTATAGAAATTGCCCTATATGTTGATATTTATACTACCTCTTCTCTAGAGAAGACAATCTGTCTTTAAAGAGAAAAACACTCTTAATAAGTAGTGATCCAATTTATTACTCTTACTGCTAACCTTGCTGCAAAGCTAAATTGTTAAAATATACTTTCCCTTTAGGTTTTAAATTGTTTACATAATGCTCTTGACACCCTTTGATTCCTTCCATGTTAGAGAATTTTTCTTTGAATGGGTTCACAGCTTATTCAGGAAGCAAGGGTAATTTAATAAATCAGTCATCATAGGGAACAAAACGAACTGCAAGGGAATTGCCTTTGTGTGCAGCTTGTTTTAATATCTAGCTCTAAGTCTAAAAGAGAGAGATCCAGAGACTCAATGTTTAAGTGCAGCTGGTTTGCAAATTCAAATGTTGTTGACCCTTGATTTCTCCTATGGACACTTAGCCATTTACTTGGTAAGGATATGCATTATCTTGGACTCCCATGTCATTGGAACAAACGTCATATAAATGTTTTAAATAAATGGGAATGTCCCCCTTATTTCTCTTATATTTCTGCCTTTGTCTTTCATGACAATGTTGCATGTTGTTTTCTTTTTTAATAATATAAAATTCGTCTTTGAATGACTATATGAATAAAAACATTATAGGAAATTATGTAATAAAATGTTTCTTTGGTTCCTCATACCTTTAAATATTGTCAATACTATAACTGTTACTAAGTTATTTACTCAAGCTGTGTCTGTAGGGCAGTTAACAGCCCTCCTCTTTTAAATGATAATCATGACCAAACTAGTCAGACAGACAACAAGGATAACTCTTTTCTTGCTGACTTAAGCAGTCAAGTTGGTCAAAATAGTAAAATTGGTTTATGTGGGCAGAGAGAGCTACAGCATTTAAAAATTACTTTTAAAAAGTTTCTTCTTTTATTAAAATGAACTTTCTCAAATGAAATACATCCTCTTATAGCAGCTATCTCTGTCTACTTACGGATGATTTAATCCCAAATGCCTCATGTAATTGAGGGCCATTATGAGAGGAATAGAAGATATCTCATCAGATAATCTTGACTAAGGGCTGTAACTCCCATTTACCATGAAAAAAGTATAAAAATGAATAGGAATGAGTTTGGGGGAGGCATAGTTACATATGAAACATTCCTTTGTTTCTTTTGATGTATGTAAAATGTTTGAAGAAAAATGGTAGAAAAATATTATTAATGAATTTAGAGTGGTTTGGGAGAGTACACTGATGCTTCCTCTGTGAAAATTATAAGGAGTGAAAATGAGACCTAAGAACCAAAAGTGGCTGGCCTCTAGCTTTTCAATACTTTGTAAGTGTTCTTGGTTATGTTTTGAACACTTAAATTTCTCAACAAATGGCTATGTCTATATTTATGTAGGGGCCACTGTTGTCCTACTTGCATGCCACTTTCACACACTTTTAACTGAAATCAGTGTGAATTCTGTATGCGTACAGGATGTATTAAAGAGGCAGGATCATTAATGCTATATTGTTGCATACTATTTTTCATATGCCTTACAATATTTTCTGGGACATTATTAAAATGAAAGCATTTTATTGCCAAAATAAATCTATGTTGTTATTTCTAATCTGCATTAGCAGTAGAAAAATAAATAATGTAGCAAAAACATATATTGTACAGTACAAAATTATAAAAGATATATATTTTGCCAATAATATGAAAATAGATCGAGGAGAAAGAAGCACATTTGTTATAGCACAAACTTACAACAAAATCCACTGTTAAATTTAGCAGTTGTATTTTTTAAAAGTATATGGATTTAGTTTTAAGTTTTATCAGATTTATTTCATCTACCATCTGTTTAATTTGCTGCTTGATACTTTTCCAGCAATTTACTTCATAGCCTTGCAATCTGTGGATGTAATCTTTTATTTTATTCCCTTCCATAAAACTCATTAAATTTTATTTTGTGATAAGACTCATACTATATTTATTGTTCTTATTTCTTCTCCTTCAATAACAACTACAAAAAGTAATGGCAAGTGAACTCAAAGGGCTTCTCTGAATTTTGGACATGTTTAAAATGTTTTATATTTTTCACAGCCTAAAGTCAGAATCATATATAAAGATGTCCCAACAACAACAACAAAAGTATTTAGGGATTCTTCAATTTGTTTCATACTGAATACTATTTTGAAACATAAGTTAAACCCATTCACTGTTTTTTTTGAAGGGGTGGCGGGAGGGAAAAAACAGATAAACTTATTAATCCTAAAAATAAATACGGAAAATTGATGTGAAAAGATTTTCCCTACTATTCTGAGGGCTGTTGATATCCCAAGCCGTTGCTATATCTCCAGCTATAAAGTGGGGGAAAAAAAAAATCACCTATGTCAAGTAATTTTTCCTTTCTTTAACTTTTAGTTATTTATTTTGATAATTTACCCCCTTTTATTTTTCTTATATAGGTGTATGTGTAGCATTCTACAAGGCATGCTGGGTAAAATATACTATGCAAATGTGTACAGTGCTGCATGCTTTGTTCTTCCTCTGCTTCAGTGGCTTTAAAGAAAAAAATGTGTTGTTATTTTTGTGAACCAAAACATTTAACAAAGAAAATGCAGAGTGCATGCATATAATATCCTAATTTCTATGGATTTGTTTTATGGAATTTAAATGTGTACAAACCTATTGCATTAATTTTTTTTCTTTTATATAATAAATGAAAAAAACACTGAAACCAGCGTTATACCTTTCCTTTATATTATTCTAGAGATAAACTGAAGAAATACTGGAAATCAATAGGTATATATCTGTACCTCTGATAGGAAAAACAAGTCTAAACATTTACCCTCAAAACACAGCTTCCATTAAATGCCTATTTCCTGAAACTCTGCTAGGTGCTACGAAGGATCACAAAAGAAGTACTATATTAGAAAAAAGCTTGTAAGTTAAATGCACACATACATGAAATAGAATATAGTACAATATATGTGTGAAATGATTCAATACAATATAGAAAAATAAACTAGATAAATCTTACTGTTCACAAGAAACCTCTAAATGATTACTTTAATGTAGCAGTTATCAGAATTCCAAAGGTATCCTGTACCCAGAAGAATTCCGTGGATGGCATATGGCTTATGACTAGCCATTTCATGTGCTTGGTGTCAGCTGTACATGCTATGACTTGATCGGCATTTGACTTTTCTCTCATTGCAATGCACGAGAAATTCAGAAGAAATGTGTGCTATGTTGATTATTACCACTGCATTAGAATTATACAGTGATTTATTATAGCCAAGTTATTTCACAAGCATTATCACATTTAATCCACTTGACCACTCTGGAAAATAGGCAGGGAATAGGTTATTAGACCCAACTACAAATGAGGAAACCAAAGCTGATTGTAACTTTTCTCTCTAAAGTATTTTTATCTATTAAATGCTTTTAAGCTGGTAGTCATCTGAAACATACAAAACAATGCCTGGAATACAGTAAATGTTGACTGAAAGAATGGTACCTCAGTAATTGAAGTACTATATCAGGCTGCCCCAACGATCAAGGCATTTCAATCAACAACCTGAAATTCCAGACTGGAAGAATTGCAGCTCACTGCAATCACTCCATGGACCTGGCCATATGCCTGAAGCCACCTCTCTTGTCATAAGCACATCTCCGCTAATAAGATGGGTTGTAGAAAGAAACATTTTATTTCCTGTCATCAACATGCTGATTAGCATAGTGGTTAGACTGGGCTCTAACTCTCGCCTGGCTTCAAAGCCTAGATCCAGCAGTAGTTAGCTATAAGTTTGGGGCGATCACTGAACTACCTTGGGCCTGGATCTGTTTCTGTAGAGCTATTTTTCTTTGGTTATGGGTCATATTTTCATGTTTCTTTGTATATCTAGTAATTTTTTATTGGTGTCAAGATATTGTAAATTTTCCATTGTGGATGACTTGACCTTGCATTCCTTTAAAGATTGTTGGACTTGTTTTGACAGGCAATGGTAGATCAGTCTGATTCTTTCAAGGGTTGTTTTTAAGCTCTTGAGGACTGGGCTAGAGTAGGACATAGTATTAGGCTAATTTAGTTCCTCTTCTAAGGTCTCTGGGGTGTCTACTGAATGTCCCATATATTCAGTGAGTTCTCGTCACTCTGGATGAAAGAGATTCAAATGATTTCTGGCTCTTTGTAAGCTCTGGGAATTACTTCTTTTATAGCTCCCTGGTACATTTTTTTTGACTCTGAAATTATTATTGGCCAGCCTTGTGGGGTTTCATACTGCACACATACAGATTGATACGCAGTCAAAGACTCAATGGCTCAACCTACGTAGGTTTCTGGAACTTTTCTCTGTATAGCTCCATCTTTTCAGTCACTCTGCTTCACAAATTCTAGCTGCCTTGATCTCTTGGAACACTGATGTGTGTCTTCAACTGCCAGACTTTATTTGAGCCCCCACTCCCTCTATAGCTGTCTGGGAATTGCCTCCAAGCAGAAAATCCAGGTGATGGTAAACTCATCTCACTTGTGTCTCTTATCAGGGATCACAGTCCTGTGCTGTGTGTCGTCCGATATCTGGAAACAGTTGTTTTCTACATTTTGTCAGGTTCCCATTTATTAATGGCAGGAGGACAATTCCAGACCATCCTACTCTCTCATAGCTGGAAGCAAAAGTCTTTCCAATGACATTTTGCACATCACTATAATCATGGATAAATTAGTCTTTAAAAAGTCTCATAAGGAGTCTTTTTCACAAATAGTTTCGTATCACTCAACAAACATTCCCAATTACTTCTATCGTAGTTCCAAAGTTGTATTTCACTCGTGGATTCTGTAGTTGACAAGATTGTAGTAGGTAAATTCTCTCTTTTTCTGTTTTTTTGAGAGACACTTAGAAAATAATCTCTTTAATGTAGATTATAAAATATGAAGTCCTAACTTCGCAAGTTGATATGGATATGACACTCATTTAATAAGTTGACAGATGTGTGTGAGGAGTTTGCAAAATGTCTTAGAGCTGCCAAAAGAATTACCTACAGTGTGCAAGAATGGAAATACTAAAGAGTTAAAGTAAACTGGTTATGCAAACAATGTTGTTGTTTTTCTGAATAGCCAAGACAGTACTTTATTGTGTAAATATAAACATAAGAATTTGTAAATTAAAATAATAATTTTCTTTCCCTTCTTATGTCTCCTCTAAACTTTGACTTTTTAACCGCAAGCCCCAAAAGAAATCAAAGAAGGACTTTTTCCTGCGCAATTGTTCAAGAACAGACACGTTTCAGTCCTCACTGCTGCTCTTTTACAGGTACAAGTCTTCCAGCTCAGACAGCTATGAAAAACCGTAGACTGTCTCCAGGTCTTACTCGTATGCTGTGTTTCTCTGTATATTGAGGTAAAATAGTGTATGGCTAGGAGAAGTGAGGTGGAAAGATGTAGTTTGTTGTTGATTTTGTTTAATTTCATTCAGTTCTCGAGGATGGGGAGCAAAGCAGTTCAAAATGCCTTTTAATAGCTCCCCTACATTTTTCTTTCTCTTCCTTTTTACCAAAGTTAAGGAGAATAGAAGGAGATGGAGCGGTCTCTGGTTTCTTTGTGGAACAGAAGAAGTAAACCTGTTTCTTTTTTACCACCTCTTGCCTCTAACAAGAGTAGAGAGTAATTATCATAGTCATCAGATGACCTAGAATCAAAGACAGACCTCAGAGGCAAACTCTCTGCTTTTACATATGTAAAAATTGAGCCCTAGTGAGGTTAACTTGCCCAACCAAAAAAATAACACATGAAGCAAGAACGCTGATATCAAGTTACCTAATGATTCACTTATATTCTAGTTTTCAACTAAATATCGCCAGAAGGTTGATTAAACACAGTGTGACACTTGCATAGCACAGGACACAGCTGTTCAAGGTGTATGGGCAAGAACACTGGAAGAGCAGAGAGCATTTCATCAGCTGTTTAACCAGCTTGGCATAATGAGAGTCACAGCTGGAAAGGACAGCTGGGGTCATGTTATGGAGTACAATGAATATCTAAGGCATTGGGACTCTCCTGCTCAATGAGCTTTAGGGGCCACTAAAGAATTTTCAACTTGGGGGGGGTGCCTTGATCAAAATCGTTGCTTCCGGCAAAAATTGACCTGAAAGCGGAGGGAGATTGGAGAACGCAGAGCCTAGGTAAAGCCACTCTGCTGGGCGCCTGGAGCAAGAGGTTTGAGAGGGAAAGGTGTTAAGCTCCGCTCAAAGACACTGCTGAGGGCCAGGACGTGGGACTTCCTGGTGTAATGTGTGTGAAGGGTTGGAGACGAGCACTGGGCACTCAATAACATGTTTACATTATGGCTCTGTGGAAGAAATGCAGGGAAAAACAAAACTCGGCGGGGACTCTACAGCAAGCAGTTGATAACCCTCTGCCCCAACCCGCAGCCGCACGGCTTCCATCCTCGGGCTCAGGTCCCCAGCGTAAAAGTCGCCCCTCGTTACGTAAATACGCGAGGGCCAGGCGAGCGCTCTTTTCCCAGGTCCCGCCCCTCCGGGCGCGCGCGTGCGCCCTCCCGTCCCGCACGCCCCGCCCCTCGCCTCCCCCGCCCGCGTGGTCGCCGCCGCCGCAGCCGCCCTAGAGGAGCTGGGGGAGGACGGTGGCCCGCGAGGCTCGTCGCGGACAACGCGGCGGCGATGTCCGCGAGCCAGGCGAGAGCCGCGGCGGCAGCGGCGGGACCTCGCGCGCGGCAGGGCGGCCTGGGCTTCGGCCTCCCTCCGGTTCCTAGGAAGCCGGCCGGTGGCCAGCGCGGGAGCAGCAGCAGCAGAGGCGGAGGCTCCTGCGCGTCTCTCTCCTCCCCTTCAGCCTGAGCCGGGGGAGGCCAGGCGGCCCCGGGGGGCTGGAGGGGGGTCCGCTGCCCGAGAATGGGAATTCTCTTCACCAGGATTTGGAGACTGTTCAATCACCAGGGTGAGGGCCTAGGGCCGCGGGCGTACGGGTGGGAGAGAGGGTCAGCCCGGGCCGGGCGGGTGGGGGGCTCCGAATACTTCCGGAGTGTGGGCGGCACGGTCTCCGCGCTGGGTGCGGGCTGTGCGGCTGCGGGCCTGGGGCTGTGCAGTCGGGCTCCCCGCTCGGGGCTGGTTCCTGACTCGCAGCCCTTTGTCTTTCGGGACCTTCCTAAGAAATCCATTCCGCAAATACACCCATTGCTCCGATTTCGACTGGGAGTGGGAAAGGTTTCTTGCCCCACGTTCGACGTCGCCGAGTG